AAAGCGAGCCACAAATATCTCAACAATCTCTACTCTCATATCTCGTATATTAATTAATAATGTATTCATCCCAAAAGTTATTTCAAATTTTCATCTTAAGTGATATTAATTTTATTTAGTAGGAGATTTAAAAAAAGTGGTGAGATGATGAATGACATAATATTGTCAAATAGATACGATAATTTGTGATCTAAATTATGGGATATTGTCAAATTAATTAATTATCTCTTTGTGATGTAATTTCTTGAATCTTTTTACGATCAATCATAAGGAGAAATAATTTTTTTGTTTTCTTAATGTGTTCTAAAAGGCAGTTAGGATATAGAAGACATAAATTTTACATTCAATATATTGAAAATTATAATTCTTTTGTCTTTTGATATAAATATAATAAAACAAATAAATATTTTATCTTTTAGAGACACAAGTTAAAACAAGTTTTTTTTTCTTTTTTTTTCAAACAAATAAAGATTGAATTATCAACTGAGATTACGTAATATTCTAGATTGTTTGTTTGTAAGAAATATATAAGCCATGTGTTTCAAACGGATGGGTGGAGGCATGCCACTGTAATAAAAAATAAAGATAATCGTTAAAGGTCATAGCATTATTGATGTAGAAAATTATTGGAAATGTATGACTCTCTTTTAAAAGGTATTGATCACAAGTTGTTTTTCTAGTTTTGGTTAATGGCTATGGCTCCACTTGTTGATTTGAGGAGGTGTACGCGTTTGGATTTTTACACTTAATTAGCCCCACACTTCCAATAATATCATCTAGCTGACATCTGTACTATAATTAATGGAGGCCTTCCTTATCTCCGTCTATCTAACTTTTCAAGTTCAAACATTATTTTATTCTACTATTCTACCCTAAAAATAAAAAATATGCTTATTTTAATATAATTATTCATTTCAAAATCCAATAATATTTTATTCAACAAAACATTTAACAATTACCTTTATAATAAAAGTTTATAAATTAAAAAACGTCTCATACACCCACCCTACTATCCCTACAGCACACCATTACCGCTAGTTGGTGTTGGAACAAGGCACGAACGATATACCTCGATCTTGCCTTTTCTAACAGATCTACGGTTAGAGATCTGACTGTTGACAATGACCCACGATGGCCATATTTTGGCCTTTAACGAAGGCCAGTTTAGCTGTAGATCTAGCATTTTTCCACCAGACACTATGGATCTAGTTGACAAAGACAAGATTGATGCACGACTGATCAATCCAACTATCGTGTGCATTCTGACGACTAACGACCACCGTCCTACAGTGGTAGCGGCTTCCAGAAATCGTTAGGTGGGTAAGAGTGTTTTTGTTAATTTATAAACTTTATTGTGGGGGTGCGTTTAGCTAAATAATAAAATATAAGGGATTAGTAATCTAAATATTTTCAGAAAATGTTTTTCAATAATATACCAAACATATTTCAGAATCCTATTCTAAAATATATTCTGAATAAGTTTTAAAAAGCCTAATAAAAAAAAAAAAAAAAGTATGCCAAATGCAGCCTAACGTTTTAAGATGCATCAAAAACCATCTTTGAAGAATTTCAAATAAATAGTTTCAGTATGAACTTTTATATAATATCTTCAAAAGTAAAGATTCACAAATCTCCTAGTCAAACAAACCTTTACGTTAGCAAGGTATTGTGTGATAGTATGAATTATGATTTAATAATGTTATGTATACAAACTGGTTATATAAACTCATCCAATACAGTTAACATGTGTAAATATAATTGAATAATTTAAAATTAGAAATAAATTAAATTATTAAAACAAAATGATATGTCAAATGAAAGTTTATATGAATGAGTTTGTATAAAAAAATTTATATATATAGTAGTACTCAAATTAAAGAAACAATATTTTACACTCATAATTTTTTATACAAATTTCTCTATAAACTTATGTGGTAAAAATAATTGAGTGATTTAAATTTTAAATAATTTTACTTAATTATCTTATCATATAATTTGTGAGAGAAAATTTGTATAAAAGGTTATAAATGTATTATCACTCAATTAAAAGGGTGAAATATTTAAAGTATTGATGAAGAAAAGAAAGGTTAGTTTTTAACGTTGTGATACAGTTGAATAGATAGATTTTTTATTAAAACGGTGAAATATTTTACAAGTATTGATGAAGAAAAAGAAAAAGGTTAGTTTTTAACGTTGTGATACACGTTGAATAAGATAGATTTTTTTATTAAAACTAATATGAAAGGCGTCTTTTTTCTCTGGAGGTGTTTCACTGTTTATTGATTTGACGTCATGTTCATGTATAAATATCTGCGAGCTTAATTTGCCTCTTCACACCCGCTTACAACTTCTTCTTCCAAATTTGCCTTTTTGCGTACTGCATTTCAACCCCAGCTATCCAAAGAGGTAACTCTTCAACTTTTTTTTCTTTTTCTTTTTCTTTAGCTGTGGGGTTTACTTTACATTATTTTCGGATAATTGTCTCTTTGTCTCTCTTTTAAGTGTATAATGATGTATTGGCAGGATGTCGAATCATGAATGAGGATTAAGTCGCCACAGAGGTTGAGTACATACCAAGAAAGATGTGCTATTAACATCTCCTCGCCAAGAACAGGATGGTATGATTCAATATTACCTTACAAATCATGTTATATTATTTTACACTTATAAATTATTCATCGTTTGAGATTATCTAACTCATATCATTAAACTCCTCAATAATTGCTTTGGTAAATTGATTTGTTTCTTTACTTATTATACAAGCACAAAATATTAATTAAGAAAAAGTGAGGATACAGCAGCTGCAGGAATGGTTTACTGAAGAAAAAGATAACACTGGGAAATCACCTCTCCTCAAGACCTGGCTAGTAAGTATTGATATCACCATCCAATTATTTTATTTTGTACTTTTACAGATGCATTGTTTTGAGTTACTTCCTAACATAAAACTTGTTCTTGTTCACATTGACAGATAATCAAATCATAAATGAAGACTTTAAAAACTGTACAAAACTGCATTGAAAGATGAATGAACATAGCTTATAAGGAAATTTTTAAAGGAGATCCACTGAAAAATTCCAAATATTTAACAGCTAGGATATAGAAAAACAAGACACCGCACTTCACATTGCAGTTGCAGCAGCAGTCTATTGTTGTCAAAACTGGTAAATTTTATGCAGAAAGACGATCTAGCTATTAAAAATGGTGATGACAATACTGCTTTTTTCTTGGGCTGAACCGGAATGGTGGGATTGCCAAGATTATGGTGTGAAGAATGAAGAGTTACCATGTATCGCTGGATGTGAGTCGAAGAGGTTACCAATTCTATAGCTGCTCAGCATGGCCTGAAAGATGATGGAGTTTCTTCACAGCGTAACAAAAAACATGACAGAAAAGGACAAGAAAAATTACAGGATCTGACCAACGGAAAGATTTGTTTTGTAAGCAGTGAACTATTCCTCGGATTCAGATTATGTTTTTTTATAGTTTTTTATCAATTATATTAGTATAATACATATTGTTGAAATCAAGAAATATGATGAAGTCCATTAAAATGCATTGAATCAACGAGTAAAACTGCTATATTGTAATACAATAGTTTTGCGTTGTAATTTAAATCATAAATTTATGCTAAAATATTGTAAAACCACAAAGTTGTAAAGTCTAGTTTCCTCGGAAAAGTTACAGTTTATAATTAATTCAATTACTCTAAAATACATAAAATTCTTGAGGGGAAGCGAGGGTTGATAGGCACCAGAAAATGTGTTACATGAAAAAAAGGATGAGATGTGATAAACCTCCTCAGAAGAGTCAGGTATAGAACTTCTTTATTACTCCATATTCAATTCACATCAACACAACCAATTTGAATGAATTATTTTATATTGTTCATAAAATTTTTCTTAATAATTTACCTTTATAGATGAACAAGAGATACATGGAAAATTGTATAGAGCTTGCGAGGAATGAGTGGTACGTAACTTATCTCGTCCTGGAAAGATCAGAAAAAAATTCAAAATAGCAACTGATATTATATCAGAATAAGAGGACATCGCTCTCCACATCGCAGCTGCAGCAGGTTCTGTATGTTTATCAAAGATGATGAACTATATGACGGTAGAACAATTGGCTATTAAAAATGGCAATGGCAGTACTGCTTTTTATCTTGCTGCTAAGAGGGAAGGGTGAAATGTGCCAAGGTGATGTTCAATAAGAATAAAAAGTTGCAAGTATCCGCGGAGATGATAACGCGTTGCCGATTCACATAGCTGCTCAGAAGCCAAAAGGACGGTGAAATTCTTATGGTGTCACGAAAGATGAATTAACACAAGACGATTGCAAGGAATTGCTTCCCATCTAATATGTAGAGCTGATTGGTTTGGTAAGCATCCTTACACATATGAATAAACCCTGAAATTACTTTCCATAACCAAGTTTTAGTAAAATTAATTATTAAAACAAACATAAATTAGTTATGACATTAAATTATATATATAATAAAACATTATGTACAAGATTGGTAACCAGATTTAACAAAATCTTAACCATCTAATTTTTAACTAAAATATATTTTTAATATTAAAATTTTAATTAAATTATTTAAGTATGTTATAGGATAAGTATCTTTTGAAATTGAATACATTAAATATTCAATTAATCAATAATAGAATACCTTAGCTTCAACGATATCACAATGACTTCTTGATATTGCTTATTTTTTCTTAGATGTTGCGTGGGATTTGCTAAAGAAATACCCAAGTTTAGTCACCGTCAATATATCTAATGGGAGGACGGGAAAGGAAACATTTTTGCATATCTTGGCTCGAACACCTTTGATGTCTCATGACTTGTTCTAATCAAAATCAGGAAGGACTTTTCAGGAGATGCTCAAAAAATGTCAGTATTTCTATCCTTTAACACTTTTTGATTTATATCTAAATTCCGTTTCCATTAAATCTGTCGACCTTATAAAATATTGCAGTTTCCGAAATAAGATAGTCATGCATGAAAAACTGCCCAAAGAAGCACTTGAACTACTCAAACTCCTTTTGGACAAAGTAGATTGTCGTGACGACTGGATGAATGGAGTAATACATGATGCTGTCAGACACGATAACATTGAATTTTTAAGCTTGATTATTTGTACTTATTCAGAGTTCATGAATTGCAAAGCAAAGGGAGATACAAATACATCTGGCTTAATATTTTCCAATGCTATTTTGAAACGTCAGAAGGATATCTTCAAACTGCTAAACGGTGTACGTCCATCATTTGAGAAACAAATACTTAACTATAAAGATGATGAAGGAAACAATATCTTGCATTTGGCTGGAAAGTTGAGTCCACCTGAACAGCTTGATGCTATTTGTGGAGTAGCTCTGCAGCTACAGCAAGAGTTGATGTGGTTTGAGGTAAATTTTTATACCCCTCTTTTTTCAATTTTGTGTAGCAAATAAATTTTTTCTTCTGTTTGTTGATAAGATGTTTCATGTTTTATAATATTAAATATAGGAAGTGAGTAACATCGTGGATCCATCGAAAGCTCATGAAAAAAATAAAATGGGAGAAACTCCAAAAGCTTTATTTGATAAGGAGCACGAGCAATTGAAGGAAAGAGGGGAGCAATGGATGAAGGATACTGCAAATTCATGCATGATTGTGGCAACACTTATTGCCACCGTGGTTTTCGCTGCAGTTTTCACAGTACCAGGTGGCACCAATGAAGAGTCGGGAATGCCTCTTTTTGCCAATAACCTTTTTTTCAGAATTTTTGTCCTTGCAGATGCAATATCTCTGGTATTATCCGTTTACTCCCTACTAATATTCTTAGCGATTCACACTTCTCGATATGCGAAAAAAGATTTTCTTTTGGAGTTGCCAAAAAAATTAGTGCTTGGACTCTTGACACTTCTGCTATCAATAGCAGCAATGATGGTAGTTTTTTGCACAACTATTTTCATTGTCTTCAAAGTTGAAAAAATTTGGGTTCGTATTCTACTGTGTGTGAGTGCTGCTTTACCAGTCATCCACTTCGCCAAGATAAAGTGGCGACTCCTGTTTGATGTAGCGCGCTCAACCTATAAAATAGGTTCTATTTTGGATGACAAAAGGGAAAAAAAGGAAGCCTAGTAAGTTTATGAAGGTAATTAGTTTTTAAGTTTCTGTTGGGACATGCTCAGTGTTGGAAATGTATGGGTTGGGAAAGCATGGATGTTTGTTAAAAAAATTATATATATTAATAAAAGTTATTACTGTGATCAAGGGGAAATTATTTGAAGGCATGCTTTTAAGTTCCTGCTATAACATGTTATTTCATCCTGTAGAAGACCATGAAGTATCAGTTAACTTGTATCAGTTCCTGTTATAAAATCTCAGATTGTCAGCAATATTCCAAGTTTCAGCTTTGTGAAATTAATTAATGGAAAGACCATTAATTCGAGAATTTCAGTATAATTTATTGATAATTCTGCAAACATGTTAAATTTACCTACATGGTATCAGAGATTTTTATGCAGAGAAATAACCATTCAATTACAGAATCCATTTTCTGTATTGATATCTTTTGGGCTTATGTTTGGCTATCCCATTTTCAATTAAATTACTTTCAATTATTAATCCTGCAATATCACAGCAATCGGGTTCAGATTTTTTCTGTTAACACAATTGCAATAACGTCGAAATGCAATTTTCAGCAATTCCTTTCTCTAATTTTGACTTTGTTCTAAAATTGACAAGTATGATTCTTCAAAATACAAATAATACAAGAAATTATAGCTGGATTTGTCAGTAATATCGCAGATCTTACTATATAGTATATACTCACTGTCTTGCTTCGAGTTTTGGCACTTTCTTTTCCAGTTGAAGGAGATGATGATAAACAACCTTCCTTCATCATGATCTCGTAAGGGCCTTTCCATTCAAACATGTTTTCCAGAGATCAAATCTGTTGTAAATTCCACCAAATCTTCGGGGGAGGATGATACAAGTGTAGCTATATGCTTTGATGTTGGCTGACCACCTAACTATGATGTGGTTTGGCCAAATTGCTTCCCATGTTGCAGCAAAAATAACTGCAGAAGCATGATTACTATGAAGTATTCCAAAAGAAGAAATGTCTCAGTAATGGGAACCATAAATAGAGTTAGAATTCCAATGTGGCACTCATGGTGTTCCTAAAACTTCTGAAAGGGTGGAATCGCTAATCATACTATTTGTTCAGGAGCTTGTGAAATCATACACCCGATGAACTGGCAAGGCAGTATAAGGCTGGGAGCACAGCTCTGTGTTTCTCTGCTACTTCTGGAATCAAAAAGATTGCAGAGGTGATGGTATAAGAACAAAGTTGTCATCAATTCGAGCAGCAAGGGAGCCACACATTGTTATGGCTGCTCTGTTAGGCACATAGAAATGGTGTGGTAATCGGTATCCTTATTTAACTAACACATAAATCACAGACAATATATGCAAATTTATAAGTTAATAATTAATATTGAATTTATATTTATTGTTAATCGACTTGCCCTAGCTAGATAACTTAATCCTATGGTGATGGCAGTAACAACAAACTTTTTTTTTTTTTTTTTTTAATACACAAAACATCACAATAAAAAATTATATGTTTCTATATTGCATAAACAACAGTGGCATTCATATTATTTTTAGGGATATTATAAATTCAGGTACAACCTTTCATGAAATGCTAAAAATAGACACAGTTCAATTTTTTTTTTTAATTTAGGGACATTAAATAGATTTTTTTTTTTTTTTTTAAATTCAGGGACAAAACAACCACTAATTCAATTCATTCATTTAGCGACATTAAGTAGTAACTTTGTTCAATTTTAACAACAAAAAGACTGATACCTACTTAGTTATTTGTTTAATTTAGTCCTTCAATTTCAAATTAAAAAATTAAAAAAAGATAAATATATAAAAAAACCAAAAATATAAATAATTTAAATAAAAAGGCAAAAATTAGTTTAAAATTTAAATAAAAAAAGGACAACCATTTTTTAAAATTAAAAATTTAAAAACATAATATATATATATATACATAAATATATATATAATATTATATAATATAATATAACTATATAATAATATAATAATATAATTTAATAAAAAGGAAAAAATTAGTTTAAAATTTGAAAAAAAAATTGGAAAAAAATTTACATAAGAACCAACTATTTTATTTTTAAATTTAAAAAATTAAAAAGATAATATACAAAAAAAAAAAAAAAAAAGATCTGCCCAACTAAGGTTGCCGCTCTAGGTGGTCTCAATCTAGCCATGACCCCTGGTAAGATCAAGGCCATACCAAGCGGCAACTTGTCCCTAAATTAAACAAAATTACTATTTAGTGCCCTAAATTGGACAAATGGAAACTTGTGTCCTTTTTACTTCACAGTTCACATATATATTCTATGAAAAATTTGTACCTAAATTGATAATATCCCTTATTTTTATTTGACCAAAACCACAAGGTAGTTGAACAAATTAACTTAATCCTATTTTTTTATGATTGACAGTAATGACAGAGCATGAAATAGAAATAATAAATTAATATAAATTCAATTTAGCTACCAATTCAAATTTTGTCGGTTAGTAATTAGTGTATGTATATATAAGTTTCGTTTGATGTTTCTATTCCCAGTTATTTCGGGTTATATACTTCATATTCTTATGAACAGAATAATTAAACAAAATTATTGTATATTATTTATCATTATGTAAACAAACAATAGTGTTTACTATTACTAAGTGACCGAGTGATCAACTAAAAATCTTAGGATATATTACTGAAGAGGTTATGAGTTCGATTTATCTCATCCCCTAATAAGGGTAGCCACTGGAGACTTATCCAATCATTAACTTTAGGGTCCCAAGAGATTAATTGAGATGCGTGCAAGCTAATCCAGACACCTTCGGTAAAAAAAAAAAAGTTGGCGTTCACATTATTTTTATGAGTAATGCTACAGTTACCGACTAGTGTGTACCGATTTTGTGCACCGAATGACGTGACACAATCTTGACCGTTTATTTATTATCAATTAATATTAATCAACGGCCAGGATTTTACCACGTCATTCAGTGTACAAAATCGGTACACACCAGTCGGTAGCTGTAGCATTTTCCTATTTTTATTTAACTAAAACCACAAGCTAGTTGAACAATACCATAGTAGTTTTTCTTGCGTTTATTCTTCAGTCTAATGAGAACAGCTTTTCTTACGTTTTACTATTTAGTATCTCTTTCTCATGAAAAGCTAGTTGAAGAATACCATATATATAAGCTAGTTAAATAATACCACAAGCTAGTTAAATATAAATTTTATTCTTCAGTCAAATGAGAACAGAGTTTTTTAATGTCATTTGCTTTTTTTTTTTTTTTTTTTTTTCATTTTTCGAAAGAAAAGATTAGGTTTAAAAGAGTGAAACATTAGTTCTAATAATTATTTGAATATATTTGGGGTGTGAAGGCGGCTTTAGAATTGAGGGTTATCCACCTAATTTGCCTCCACAGGACTTGAAATCCTTCTTTGTATATTTTGCTCTTAATTGGAGAATGAGAGTTGAGCTCATTGTTTCCTTGCGAATTTTTCTTTTTGAAGCTGCGAATTCCATCCAGGTCCAAATTAAAAGAGGTAAATCTTTTTTTTTTTTTTTTTTGTTTTCTGGTTTTGGAATTTTATTTTAGATTGCCATTAATTAGATCAATGTTAAATAATATATATGTGAATTATGAAGTAAAACATGCTTTCATATAATAATTAAAGCATAATAAAATTTCATATCTATAGACAGAAACATTTTTCAAAGCGCTGGTGCGTTTTGATATTCTACTTTATGATATTTAATTATTATTGTGTACTCTAAGTATATATAGTCTGCATGCCTTTATAATCTTTTCCATTTTATGTTCAGAATAATTTTTTTTTGAATAATATTAATTACGTGTTCCACGTAGAGTTTAATTATTATTGTGTATTCTAATTTCTGTTTGGATTAGATTTTTTTGTAGATGCAAGCATTTTTACACGTAAAATAGCTTATTAAAATTCTATAAACATTTTTAAAATGCAACCAAATAACTTTAAAATAATTTTAACTTCAAATAAGTTAATATATGAACTATATATTTCAATTTTCCCTAACACATTGTGATTATTAATATACAGTTGGATGTCACATGACAGTTTATGTTTATGGCATGTCGACAAGACAACAATCACTATTTATACCATTTAAAATTCTTTAGTCTTCTAAATTGATATATATAGCAGGCCAGACTCCACAAAGAGGAAAGTTTTCAACCCTTCTCTTCAACTTTACAGTGTATACTTTCGTCGGAAAATCTATAGTCATCTAAATTAATCTAAAGTTCCCTGCAGGGTTTGCCACAAAAATGTTTACTAATTATAAAGGGTTGACACACATGAAAATGAGAATGTTGAGACATCTTCTCAATAACATAATAATTGTATGATTCAACATTATCTTATATATAAACTACTTTTATATTATATAACCACATAATTGTAATAATAACAAAAATGTTGTCGAATTAAATTGTAATGGATACATCAATTGTATCACAAAATCAGTCTTCTAAAGAAGAAATAGTTGAGATTAAGACATCTTCTCTTCAATATCAAGCTGGTACAAACAGTTTGGTACTATCTTATATATAGATTATCTATTATTTTTATTCAATATTTTTAAAGAGGAATTGTTTTGAATATCCTTTCACTTTTAAATCTTTAAAATTCTTAATAATCATTTAACATTAATTTATAAATAAAAGTAAAAATATTTTAACATTTTGTGTAAAGTGTAAGCAAACGGTGTTAACTTGGTTCATTAAATTCTTTCAATTTCAACAAGGATTATTAAGGGGAACTATAGGATTTAGCTTAAGGCATGTATGTGTCCCTTTATTTTCTTGAGTTGAATTGGTGTTATGTTATTTTATTATACTTTTTCTTTCCTAAATTGCATTGAGTCAAGAGTTTAACATTTTATACATATATACATGCATACATGCATATGTTCACTTGATATTATTGATAGGTATTTAATTAATTAATTTTATACTAACTAACAATATTGAAAACTGAAACATTTAAATTCTATTCATCGGAAATATGTAATCTTATAAATTAAATTCAACTTACATCTAAATACATAAAATTGCTAATATGGTTTACAACAAAAATGTCTATTGATGAAGTGAGGATTAACATTGTACAAGAAAACGAGGAACATGAAAAATGGATGAACTTGTGACATCTCCTCTTCTAGAACCGATTGATATGATTCAATATCACCTCGTAAATTGCACATTATATTATTTCATACTTTTAAAGATGTAATGTTTAGATAGATCTTTCTATACATATTTAATCTTCTATAATAATCACTTTGGTTTTCCTACAACAAA